GAAAGGCTTTGATTTTTGTCTTGAATGCTGCTACATCAATAAACTTTTACTTCCTATCTCATTAAGGTGCTTGAATTTCTCTTAGACTGACACCTGGCCAGAGACGAGTTTGCTACAAGAGACTCCACTAGAAAACTCCCACATAAATCTCAGAATTACAGGGTAACCAAACCTCTCCACTGCGATGATGTGGCAATTCACTGAAGGGGATTTTTTTTGGTTTTCTTTTTGAACTTTTAAGAAGCAGTTTTTTTGTGTAAAAGAGTCTTTGTCAAATTCAGAAATTATTCACTGAACTAATTCTGTGTTAGAATCTTTTTTTTTTGTCTTTTCCTTCTTCAGTGAGACGTCTTTTTCAGGGACACTTTCCTCATTTGATTCCAGGATGTTCTCCGGAGATTCCATAATTCCAAACGCCTGATCCATTAACAGAATTTCGAACCAGTTATCTGTTTCAAACTCACTGAGCAGACCACAAAACAAGAGGTTTCCCAGAACTTCTTGTTCTGCTGTAGTTTGAGGACCAGGAAGTTTCTTCTTGGCGTCACGTTTCTTCTTTTGCTTTTTGTAAAAAGTGCTTTTAAGAGGAACATTCTCTTCCTCTGGTTTTTTGACTATTTCATTTTAATATGTTATCATGACTTTTAAAATCTCGTCTGCCAATGCAAAAAAACATAATTTTCTGCAGAATTGACTACAATTTGCAGGAATCTCTGATGCAACAGGAGCAAATAAGAATAAAAAATAAAGAATGTAAAATGTTTAGATTGTTTTTATGAAATCCTGCTGATGAGACAGAGTAACAGTCAAACATAAATGTCTTTAATCCGTTTGTGATTAATCTCCATCTACCTGTACTGTTTCCAGAGGGACGAAAGCTCAGCTCTATGCCAAACTCAGAGATGCTGGGGGTGGTGGAGGACATGGCCCACAGGCTGCTTGCTGGGGAGGAGGTGGCTGTAGTGATGAAGGCCTGTCGAAGGGTAGGAAGATTCATTCACCACATGGTTTTCTTTAAATGTGACTTTTAAGTATATGATATGGATCACACAGTACATAGCAGAGAGGTCTGTGGAGAACCTGATCCGCCACCTGCTGGTTGTGTTGGACCGACCTGAAAAGCTGTTGCTGCTGAGAGAAGTCAGGTAATAAGGATCGCTCTTTGATGCAACGGCTGATAAACTACTCAAGACACTTACGGAATCCTGCTTTTTGTGCATTGTGCTTTATTTTGCTAGGAAAACATATAAATAAATAAAGGTTTTCTTTAAGCCTGCCCTTTTAACTTTGCACAATCTGACATGATAAACGTTAGTGTTACAAATAAATACCAGAACTGGCTTAAGGATTTATTTTAGGATAATAAGATGGTGAAACGTAGTTTCATTTATTAGAATGCTGCTTCCACCCTCTGACCTGGACATGTTCAACACCTTAGTCACGACTGTTGAAGTGGAAGCCTACGACATCCTCAAATATCGCTCAGGTGAGGGTTACTATTATCTGCAAGATATCTGAGTGCATGTCAGTCAGCGTAGCTGTCCCATTTTGAATTAATCTTTTAAACTTAAGAGTAAAACTAATGCATGAAAAATCTGATAAATGGCCTGTATTTATAGAAGATCTTTGTTCTGAACCCCAACCCCCTTACCACCACCATTGACACACTGATGGTGATTGTAGCCACATCTGCCCTGGGGTTAGGGTTAGGTGACAGAGGTGAGGCTGCTGTGCACAGGCACTGCCAGTCCCTCTGACCACCAAGGCGGGTTGAAGTGCCATTCCCAGGGACACACCGACTGAGACCAACTAAAGCCTCTTTTACACAGACTGCAGAACGAATGTGGTCGGGTTTCCCCAGTCAGTGTGGATGGCGGTCCATCTGGGAGCTGTGTGGAAACTGAACCACCTCTGTACCACATTCTGTGTGAACCAGACTTGAGGAGGGCGTGAACGGGGCGGGCACTTAGCTCCTCTGCCATGGCACTGCCTTATTAACAGCTAGAATATAAATTGTTTCTTCAACTGTTTTATTTTTGTAATAAAGCAGTTATCTTTCTCTGCACTGCAGTCCGAACTCCTCCTCTTCGCTCTCCCATGTCTGGTCGAGCACCCAAACGGCGCCTCATCACTCCCATTCCAGGTTAATTCTGCCTCTAATATCACTACATTTTGTTTTTAACAAATATTTAGTAAGTGTTAAAGTGACAATGTGTAGTTTTTACCATTAATTTCTGGAAATATTCATTGACATGTTGTTGTAAATTAATTAAAAGATACCCACAGTTGAAAAATATTGGCAGTTTCATAACATACAACCATAAAAATCTGGTCTAAAGTACATGGGAATGGGTCTAAGTCTCTGGGTGATGCCATACTGGATGCCATGTTTCCTTCTACAGAAGCTCATGAGGACAGAATTCATTTACTGATGTGTAACAAATGATTACAAAACTATCAGCAGTAATAACATTGTTCTTTTACACATTCACCTCGTCATTCAATGCAAGTGATGAAAGGGAATCTGATGTTCTTGTTATTTTGCTGGAGGTTGCACTCCTAAGGATTTTTGACCCTAGTGGCCATCTGTTGGTAAGGTCTTACTTGTCACAAAAATAATGCTTGCTTGCAATGATTTAGGTATCTACTGCCCCCTATTGGCAGGGAAAATACACACAGTCACTTTAAGGCTCACTGAGAAATACCCACTCGTTTATCAGAAGCTTTATTAATTTCTTGAATATTAAAATGTAATTTAATAATGACATTTTTATATTTTCTTAAATTCTGTTGACTGCATGAAGATTATTTCATAACAAAGTGTTCTTAAAAAGAATTTAACCCGTTACAGATTTCCTGGTTTTGCTTTGCTGTGACATCTAAATGCTTCAGATCAGCAAACACATTTCAGTATCAGACAAGGATTATTTAAGTAAAGCACAGTTTCGTTTATTAAGGGAAAGAAGCCAGCATTGTCCAATGTGAAAAACGATACTGGTAAATAGTCCTGAAAAGGACAGTTTTGGCCAGAAAATGGATGAAAACAAAAAATAATTAAAACATGTGAATTAACAAGTTATCGTCATTTAGTGTTTTTCATTCAAATAACAATTGTAATCTCAAATTACAGGTCTTCTTTTATTGTAACAGCAGTTCCAACACTTCTCTTTCCAGATTACAGAGGAGGCTTCGAGCTCCACAATACAGAGGAGGTGGAAAAGGAGAGCCACCTGCTGGAGGAGCTGGAGAAGCTCAGCCTCACTGGTTCACAGGGATCCAGAGGGACAACTAGGACCTCCAGATCCTTCACAGCCCTGCTGGACATACCTGTGGATGGATACAACTCAGAGTCTAGAAGCCTCAGACCCCGTTCTGTCAGCCCAGGGCTCCCCAACTGGCTGTTGGCCCACAGCAGTGACCCCCATCCTCCTCTCCACACAGACATCGGCACAATTCGCTCCATCCACTTTGATGAGGTTTCACTGCACTCCACCTCAAACAAGACAGAAGTGCCTTCGGAGAGGGGACGGACTACTTTCAGAAGCAGTCACGGCAAGATCAGGAAGGAGAGAAGCGAAGACAGGAGTAAGCAGGCTGTGTTTACACTGCACGGTGCCAGTCACAGGAGTCGGCCCTTGTTGTCTCAGGTGTTTGGCACAAATCTGGACCAGCAGGTAAACGGCCACCAGACTCCTTCTGAGAAGGAACTCAACGGTTCTGATCCAGAACGGGAGCACCAGCTAAAAACCATCAGCATCACCAAAACCAAACCGTCTCTGGGTAAATTACTCACCTAAAACTGCTTTTACTTATTTCTATAAACTGATTTTAAACTTTGCTGTACAAAGTAAAGATTAAATAACACCAGGTAGTGACAACATGCTTGTTTTCTTTCATGGTTAAAATCAAACTTAAATACAGGTGAAACTGGAAAATGGAGAATATGGTGCAAAACTCCATTTAATTCAGTAATCCACCTTAGACTGAGAGACCATCTAAAGGCTCAGGAACCCTTTGCAGGTGTTCTGGATTCATTAGCTGATTAGAGCGCGACACTTTGAGAATATTGAACCTTTTGACAATATTCTAATTGTCTGAAATTTTGAATGTGATATTTTCATAAGCTGTAAGCCATAATCATCACAATTATAGCAAATAAAGGCTGAAATATCTGGCTTTGCATTTAATGAGTCTGTCTCATAGATTAGTTTCACCTTTTAAGTTGAATAATTGACATAAATTAACTTTTGCACCATATCATCATTTTTCAAATGTCACCTGTGTGTCTTTTTAGCTTTTTGCTGAAGAAACACATGATCATTGCTAAAATAGAACAAATCATTAACACCTTTACTCACTGTTGTGATCCTGCAGGAATCAGTATATCTGGTGGGATGGAGTCAAAGGTTCAGCCGATGGTGAAGATAGAGAAGATCTTTCCTGGAGGCGCTGCCTCCACCTGTGAGGTACTCAAGGTATAACTACACTCATGCAGCAGAATCACAAACCTACTCTGAAGAAGATAAATTAATGCATTTCTCAAATGTTAATATGAAATGTTCTTGAAGCTAGATAACGTTGTCACAGGCTTATTTGTTTTGCAGTAGGACTTGCCACTTCAGTGTCCTTTTGTGCAACATAATCAGATAAGACTTCTGGATATTCAGCGTAACGGTTTTTTGTGTCACCTGAATAAAACATAATAGTGCAAGAAGTCCAAGTCCCCTTTAGGAGATGCACGACCCCAGGAAGACAGTCATTGCATTATTCAATGACATAACATTTATTTTTATATTGCACTCATGTGATTTTATAACAAATTTTTAAATACTGGAACGCTTGATACTAGCATTGTGTTTTGCTAACTAGCTGAAAAATCAGCTTGTATTTATTTATTTATATTTTTGCACAAAAATGTTCCTCATTGCATTTAATTGAAGCTGGTTTTATACTTCACTTTGTGCCCCAGGCAGGATTTGAGTTGGTGTCGGTGGATGGAGCTTCCCTGCAAGGAGTCACCCATCAACATGCCGTGGACATCATCCGTAAAGCCTTCAGCAACAAGGCCAAAGACTCCATGGTGTTTGTGGTGAAAGTTCCCAAAAACCTTTGAAAAGGAGTCTGAACTTTTACGTTTGGATTTATTTTTAATGTACAGTGATCAACAGAGCTGCGGGGGTCGATAACACGGACCACGGAGATTGGGATTTCGCCATTAAAGTTCAAATAAAGAACAAAGACAGTGAGCAACTTGCTGCTCTGAATGACCAAATCAGCCTTCTTGACTTTGGAAGGAAGAATAAAAAGAAAACTTGGCAACATTTTTAATAAAATTTGTTTATCGGAGTATAAAATGATAAAGATGGTGCTTTTGTTGCCTTTACTTCTTTTTACAGTTTATGTTAAAGGGTTAAAGCTTTTTTAGGTACGACATGTAGATTCTAAAATGTGAATTTTGAGCAACTCAGCTGAACTCTTCTGTGAAGCCATGGGAAAAGTTAAGCCCAACACCTTTTTTGACCTGCAGGGGGCAAACACGAGCTACTCGAGGACATTCAAAACCCAACTGCCAAATGTGAACATGGTGAACTGTTGGGATCAAATAAGTCACACTGGAGACAATTAAGAAGCAATACTGAACTTTTACTTTGTACGATGGAGGCACAGAAACATGCTCGCCCCGTAATCAGAAGGTTGTAGGTTTGAGCCCCGCTCAGTCTGTCGCAGTCATTGTGTCCTTGGGCAAGACACTCAACCCCCCCCCCCCCCCCCCGCCTGCTGGTGGTGGTCGGAGGGATCGGTGGCGCCAGTGCTTGGCAGCCTCCCCTCTGTCAGTGCACCCTAGGGCAGTTGTGGCTACATCGTAGCTCATCTGGCTATATCTAATACAGTCCATTTACCATTTTACTAAACAGAAACAAACCTCAAACAGCACAGAAGTTAAACTGGTTTAATTGAAAACATGCTGTGTTTGTCCAAGAAATGTACAGCATGAAAATATACATTTAATGTCTTCATACAAATATTGCAGATTATAAAATTTAATCAGAGGAACCAAAACAAACTTCCACACTAACGATAATATCCAGGTTTTTCATCTGTGGGTGGGAAATGTGTAGCTTTGGTCTATTCACAGTGGTTATGTTTGAGATGAGCAGACAGCTCTAGGAACAAAATATCCTTATTTACAGATGGTTCAATCAAAAAGGGAAGTACATGAGAATGCTAAAAGCTCGGTGGGAAGTAGTCTGACTTTACTCCAAAACATCTTTCAGTGCAAGAGTTCTCCATTATTAGTGATGTAATAGATAAACAGCTTTGGGAATATTTCCGTTGAGAGCTCATTTAGTGTGGTGACACGGTCTTCTTTAATTAAAACTTCTTTATAAAACAGGTTTACTCATGACTGAACCATGTTTCTATCACAGGATTTAGCAACATTTTAATGAACATAAACTTAGTTTCTCATCAAGAAACAGTTTCTGCTTTTTAGAAGGCCTCCGTCACTGAGCACATCAAGCACACAGACTCTACAGTACCACAGCACAGGGCGTACAGGAGTGATAAGGCAGGGCAGATTATAGAGTCTGGAGCAAAAAAGTTATAATTAACATCATTAGTGTGTTTTTTTTTAATGAAAATGTTAAAAAATGTTGATCTTAAAGAGATTATTCAGCCATGTTGTTTGTGTCAAAGTTACACTATCGTACTCGTTGTGTAGATAGCTTTTTGAAGAGCTTCGGTTAAAAAAAATCAGCGTTAATGTCCTCCAGGACTTCTGAGCTAATGGCTAGTCTGCATGAGCTGAAACAAAGTTTACTGATTCCATGTATAAAAAAAAAACAGCTCAAATCTATTTTCATAGTGGTTCGAGTGAAATTATTTTGTAAACCTTTACAATCCATTAAAGGGATACTTTGCAACTTTTTCATATTGTTAAATCATTTTCTTGAGCCAGCATCTGCTAAAACGACCCTTTACAGCAGGGATATTCAATTATGGGCCTGGAGGGCCGATATCCAACACGTTTTAGTTTTAACTCTGTATCAACACACCTGATTTCAGACGACAGGTGATTAACAGGCTTCTGCAGAGCCTGATGAGCTGCTGCACAGGTGATTAAACCACTGAATCAAGTAAGTTGGAGCAGAGAAACCACTAAAACATGCTGGATACCGGCCATCGGTGCCTGGAATTGAATACCCTTTTATAGGGTTGACGAAGGGCCGCCCAGCCCCAATCGCCCCGTGTGACCAGAATATTCCACTTGCAACTTCAGAGTTGCCGGTCTGCTCCGTTTAACTTAGAAAACAAAAATGAGCCGACATGCCTGGGGCTGCAGGCTGCTTTCAGCACGCTTCCTGCATGTTTTAGATCACAGTTGATTTGTTTAATTTAGTGATGATGAATCCTGTAGACACAAATGAAGGCAGGGGCACGTTGCAGCTTTTAGATTAAGGTGTTAAATGGATGATCGCACAGCAAGGCTTTGCTTTGGGCTCTACAAACGGACACTAGGAGGCGCTAAAAGCAAGCAAAAACTGCCTTGTCTCCCTTTAATTTGGGAGTTCTATTTACAAAAGTGAAAATCTGTAGCAAAACGCAGCACTTCCTGGATGCATCTAGGGGTCAAGTCCAGCGGAAATTTTATATTTCTGTCTAAATAAATCAGGCAAAGCCAAAGGCAGAGCAACTGTGCCTAAAATAGAGTCACAGGAAACACTATGAATTGTATGATGCTAGCTCATTAGCCCTAAAGGACATTAGCCATTTCTCTGAACAGGAACCATTAAGGAAGCTATTTACAACCGATAAAGCAGGAAAATTTCTAACTTTTACACAATAACACAGCTTTCAAATGGCTGAAGTACCCCTTTAACACATCTGGGGATATCTGAACAAAACAGGAAAACTGACCTTTCTGCTTCATGCTAAAGTGATTTATTCCACTGGATTGTGTAAAAATGGGGCAAATTTAAAATGAGTCATAGCATCAGCATTGTCATACAGGTTGCCCCCAACACCCATTTCAGGGTTGGTAAGTTGTCAGAGCTCCCATTTAACCTCATCACCATCCATGTCACACATAGCACAGCCACCGAAGTCTCCGATTACTCTTACGGGGACACAGTGAACGTGTGGATGACACGTTCACCGCAAACAAGCGAAGTGTAGCCGGCTGCTGACAGAGTGGGAGTGTAGCGCTGAGTGCAGTTGGGATGGCGGAGTCAAAACCATCACAGGAGGAGGATGGTGAAAGTTTGGGTGAACTTACACGCACGCACATAAAACTTCCAAAGCTGTGAAAAGTCACCGGGACTCGGTTGTGTGTTCAGTGCAAACACAGGCATTAATGAAGGCGTGGAGAGCTGATGCGGTTAATGACGTTTAAAGGTCAAACGGCTTTCAAGTGGAGCGGACTTCACACGTCACACTGTTTTACACCAGACACAGTTGGTTGCTTGTTAGTCACATAAACAGCACTTTTTTCCATCTAGACAGCACAAGGAGGAAAAACACCTAGCAGATGGTAGTGCAAATAACAACAAAAAGATGTGTCAGATTTCTGTCGCCGCGATTTCGTCAAAGTTGATCTCGTTCCCGCTGCCCTCGTCCTCCTCTCTGCTCTCCAGTTCCAGACTGAGCTCCTGCAGCATCTGCTCCAGCTCTCGGTTCCTGCGATACATCTGCACATAGTTCTCCTGCAGCTGCTTCTGGTAGCGGATTACTTTGTCCTTCTCCTCCTGCCATATCCTGCGCTCTTCCTCAAAGCTTCCCGATTGCTGCTCAACCGTCTGGCGCTCAAAGGCCAAGTCTGATTTCAGCCTTTCCATCTGCACTTTCATGTTCTGCAGGGCCTCGGTGCTGCTCTGCCTGTGGGCCTTCGCCTCATCGCTCTCGTATGCAAGCAGGTGCTCCTCTGTGTCCTGGAACACCTGACAATGTCTGTTACCTGCTGCCTGACTGGCCAAGGTGTCTTTGAGATTAGCCAGCTCTCCCTCGAGGCGTCCTACCTTTTCTCTGAGCAGTTCCGCTTCACTCTTTCGACGCTGGAGCTCGTTTTCACACACCTCCAGCTCCATGGTGCGTGTGCGGTTTGTGCCGTGGGCCTCCTGGAGCAGAACCTGGGTGTTGGTCAGCTCACCGCGGGTATCTCGAAGCTGACTCCGCAGTGAGACGATCTCTCCAACTCGCTGAGCCAACTCACTCTGCACCTCCTTCAGCTGCTGCTTCAGCAGGGAGATTTCTCCTGACTTCTGGCACACCTGTGACAGGAGGAAGGTTCAGAGTAGATCATCGGTTCCATCTTTGGTGCAAAGCCCATTAGCAATAAAAAAGTAATTAAAATGTGCCCAAAATCTGGTTTCACCGTTAAAGCAAGGAGATGGATAACGAAGCCGAGTGTCAGATCTCTTCAGAGAAAACCCAAAATTCATCAAGATCATGAATCACCAGATGTTTCTGATTTTTAATCTTCTATCCAGCCCCTTTCAACCTGCCAAGTGGTTTTCTGGAGGCACTAAAATTTTCTCAGCCTGCAAAAACAATGCATGTTACTACTGATCTGTGTCTAGAGCTTACTAAAGACCGTTTGTTCCGTCTGATCAGAGATAAAGAGTTCTTTGTGACGTCCTCAAGCAACAAACACACCACCAAACATGCAACCCATCAAAGTTTGTCATGGACCCAAATCTGCATTTCTACAAAAGTAAATGTGTGAAAAGCAAATTCATACCGTAAAATAAGTTTAAATTTAATGTGAACTCAAGTGATTCAGGTAAGAAAAAGTTGGTGTTTTTTCCTGTGTACTCCTAAAGGAATGGGTTACTTGTTTAATACATTTGCCATGGTCTCAAGTAGGAATGAAGGTCTTGTAATTCATTCTCAGGAGGGAAAAATATACTGGTGCAATATTTCTTGGACCTAAAAGTTGTCCACATCACATCTGAGCTTCAGACAGCAAGTTTTATCAAATCTAATCAAACTAAATCAACCTTTATTTAGAAAGCACCTTACAGGCATGAAACATGCCATCCAAGTGCTGTACGATCAAAATAAAACAGATAAAACCAACAGGGACAATTAAAAACCAACAATATAAACATAACTGAATAAGAGCGTGTAAAAATATCAGCGACAGCTAACCCACAGAGCTAAAATCCAGACCATAACCTCTACTGATGGGGGGAGCCTAACAGCTTAGGGAAGGGCACTCCATAGTCTTGGACCTGCTACCAAGAACACCCGAGGTTTTAGGGTCTTATTCTCTGATATTTGGACATCTCGCCTCTAACTGGATAACAGCAACACGACTCTACCACTGACTTGCAACTTTGACGTTTTATCTCCAAAATTAACTCGAGCCTGGAGGAGTTCTGCTGTGTGGTGGTGTTGCTAATGGTTAGCTTAAACCAACAGAGGCGTTCTTTGGTGTTTCCTGGACGCTAAACCAACAACAGCCTTCTCCGTCGTGAGTCAAGATGGGTGAGTCCATGAATGTTAAGTTAGAGTGTGACGTAGATCTGTCAGGATTTTCAAATCCAGGATTTTTTCTATCGGAAGCCAATGCAGGAGATAGGTGTAGGAGACTATTTTCATGTTCAGCCTGCATGAAAAGCTTAAGAGTGACCAATTATAATCATAAATAATCATAAAAAAAGGTGTTCAGTCAACCACATCTTTAAAACATCGAACTTCTGAGGGGCTGTTGAATTTTGTTAGAGATGGTCTGCTCACCTCCCACTTGGTCTCCTCCAGCCGGGGTCCCAGCTGGATCTTCTCATGCTCGTAGGAAGTACAGCGCTCCTCTAGCTGCTCCCTCTCCTTCAGAAGCTGAGCAAAGTCCTCCTGCAGCTTCTTCTTCTCCTGCTGGAGCTGATAAACCTGAAGCCACGACACAAGAATACCACTGAAAACATATTATAGCACTTTTAAGGACTAGGTTTATTAGAAAACAATTTTTGAGCAGTTTTGCTTTCTGGATGCATAAAACAGTTTGGATCCTGGTTTTGGTTGTCATCACGCTCTGATCAGGCCTAACAGAATACTGAAGAAGTTCTGACCTGCAGCTGAAGCACCTGCTGAGCCCTCTGGGCCTTCTGAGAAGCTACCTGCATCCTGGTGGCACAGCTCTGCCTCAGCTCCTCCAGCTCCAACTCAAAGCGCTTCTGCTTCTCCTCATAAACCTGTAAAGATAACGATGGGATCTGAAAACATCAGAGTGAATAATCCTTTGAGTTTACAGGTCAAACTAGGTCTCAACTCCTACAAACCTGACATATTGCAGCTTCATTCTCATCTAGATTGTCTCGGAGTTGCTGCAGCTCCAACTCTCTCTCTCTCAGTTTGTCCTCCAGATCCCTCACAACCCCTTCGTAACCCTCCACGGGGCCAGGAGAGCGTCCGCCAGACCCGCTGTCAGACAGAGGCTGCCCTCGGCCCCCCAACGATCCAGAACCAGTGCTTTTACTGGAGGAAGAGCGTCCACTGTCTGAGTTGGTCTGGCCATGTGCACCGACTGATGGGACGCCCTTTGTGGGCTCCAGGTGACCTGCTGGGGCGTCCCCTGACGCCAGGCTGTAGCTGGCACTGTTGTAAGGGGGCAGGCTGCAGAGGGAGTTCCGGCCCGAGTCGGACAACGAGCAGGACTGGCTGCTACCATTGCTGGCGTTCCTTCCTCCGCTGTAGGAGCTGCGTTTCTCAGTGCAGGACGGTGACGCATCCCTGTGGGCGGGGCTGAGCAGGTTCAGGTTGTTTTGGCTTTCTGATGCGTTAGCACAGTGGTGAGGGGAGAGGTACTGCATGGAAGAGCGGCTTTTGGGAATGGCGGGTTTGAAGGCAGTGGGCCGCAGCACTGTTTTCTCCATGTTCTAGCAGGGAGACAAAGACAAACATTTCTGTTTGGGAGGACAACAATATTTATAGCAAACCATCCGATTTTAGCATTTTTATTAAACCTGAGCTGCTCTAAACAGGAACTCCCTCAGGTGTTAAGGAAAACACCAGAACATCTTCAATTAAGATGTTTGGTCTATAAAAAGTTGTGATCAGTCAAGACTCACCTTCTCGAGTTTTCCAGAGACTGGAATCAATCTCGGAGGAGGTTTTCCATTTAATCCCAACCCTACTTTAATGTCCTCTCTGTCGCTTTCAGGGCTGCCAGGAGTAACATGATTATCATTCCAGTCACCGACATAGTCCTCGTTTATGTAGGTGTAGTTCCCGTTCCCACTCTCCTCCAGAACTCTGCTAGACGTTGTGCAGCTCTGGTTCTTCAGGGGTAGGATGTTGTGCAGCAGCGGATCCTGAGGAGACTCGGAGCCCAGGCAGGAAGTTCCAGCAGTAGAACGCCGGACTCTGGCCCCCAGATCCTGGTAGGTTACAGGGCGAGCGGCGACCAGGCTGCTGACAGAACCCATCGAAGGTGGTGGGTGGATGGGTGGTGAAGGACCAGAGGGGTGACGTCTGCGAGCTCCAACGCTGTGGCTCGGGGTGTGAGGCTCAGCCGATATGGGCAGAGCCTGAACCAGGGCCATAGTGGCAGCTGGGAGGGGTCACTGTTGTTGGAGAAGAAAGTATTAATTAAATTGTTAATTCCAGAATTCAAATAAGTTCACGTCAAGTTACATAAATGTCAGTGTTTTGCTGTTACTGTGTTTACAAAACTGACAAAAATCTGTTGCATTCATACTTCCTGATCAAATCTAGTAAACTAAAAAGTTACAGATCCTATTTCACTCAAAAACAAGCAACACTCATCAATTCCCACTGGATGCTTTTAAGGAATGCTTTTTTTTCTGAGTTTGAGACAAAATAAATGAAAAACAGCAGACTGAATTATAAAAACATCTCCCAAGACCCACACACAGAGAACCGGGACAGGCCATTCAATGGATTCAGCCAAGCAGCACAAACAGGGCTTCAGCCACATGAAACAGCACATGGAATGGGTCTCTCCATTAGAGGCGTAAAATGTTACCACCATCATGATAGCGTTTATGTCACAAATGACATCAAAGGCTCACTCACAGCTGGATAATCCAGCATGAATAAGAGACCTGCTAAACCTGCTATGGAGTTTCTGTGGTTTAAATTCTAAAGTAAATTTATATTTGTGCGAATAAAAAAGCCATGCCACAGACTTGCATTGCTTCACTCTCATGGAGTTGTGGTAAATACTGACATTAAAACACGGACTGATATCAACAGTTTGTCCCTTGGCTGCTGAATTCTTGTGTGTGTGGAGAACAATGGACAACAGGACGTGTGGCTCTGAGGTCATGCTTTACTTACAACAGCAGGGTCTGTTACATTTGTAATGAATAAAAAGGGTCAAAAGACCGCAACACATTTTACAAACCTCAACTTAGTGAGTCTGAATAAAGAGATTAACGTGTGGTGTGTCAAGGGCTGAAGCTTCAGGTTAGCATTCCAAAAGAAACAAAGGCTGAACGAATGAAAGCATGATAAGCTTCTTCATGATAAGACTATACATAAGAGACAATAGTGATGTGAAGAATAAAATATTTTGAACGGGTTTTCAAAGTGAACGTTGAGAGCAGAGAGAGCATGTCTTCTAGTAATGCACCCCACGTGCGCTCGCACGGACATCAAGTGTGTGTTTGTGTGTGTTATATATTTATATATATATATATATATATATATATATATATATATATATATATATATATATATTTAAATGTTTTTATGAACAGGAAAATTTTTTGAAGCTAATTTCTTTTCCAAATTTGCAACTGTACCGTTAATAAGATTAAAAAACGGCTGATAGATGCTAGAATGTTGGCCAGACATACTTCTTTAGCAGATCAGTCAAAACAAGGCCATGCCAAACCGTTTTCCAACCTGTTTACAGAGAGCCACTTCTACAGTTAATGAGTACCCTTTAAACCTGGCTGATCCCTACTTAGACTCATAAATCTACCTCTGCATCGTGTTGATGTTATGCATGAAAATGGAAAACAGCTACCCAAATGTTTTCCCCATTGGTTTGGTTTCTCTTATTATTTCTTTTGCAAATATCTCCTCACTTTGAGTCGCTGGACCTTGATTTTGTGATGCAGGAATTTTAAAAATGGAGAAATTCACGAGACGCGTTTCCTCTAGAAACAGTTGAGTTGGTCATTGCATGCACCTGGAAATCTTATAAACTTAGTTTCAATAAGTTTTGAGAAAAGTGAAACACTGTGAAGAAATTAAGATGTTATTAACAGACTGTGCAAAGGTGTTCTAAGTAACACCTAACAAATAGGTGTGTGATTCCTGCCTAAAATTGTGAGCATTTTCCATCAACATAAAAACATAGCAGCTCACTTGATTCACATACCTTAACATGAGCAGTGTGCTTTAATTAAACTGACAAAATAATCTCAAACATGAAAGAGTTTTGAAAGAAAATGCAAACTCCAAAATGTTTCTCAGAGGAAATGTTTAAAATTGTAAAATTGGGTTAATGACAAGCTAAAAAAACCTCAATAAAGTTGAAAAAAAAAGAAAAGAAACAAACTGTTAGTCTAAAACCTTATGGCAGTTTCTTGCCTCAGATTGTTATTTCTGATCTGGACGAGTCCATTTTCTTGTCCACAAAGTCTCTCCAGATCATATGCAAAGCACAAGAGTCTCAAATGGTTTTAAAGCCTTTGCCATGTTCATGCATTCTTGGTTTTCCTTCTGTTGTCACAGTAACAAGGGCCTCAAACCTCAGAAAGCAGGGGGAGGAGGAAATGAGGAATGGGTCAGAGGGCAGACAGAGAAGCCAGGACCCTCCTTAGCATCTTTAAAGACTTGAATCTTTGCATGGCTCTGAAACACTTCCATGATTTGCCTAATGGAAATAAAGGGATCCACTTACTGAAGGTGAATGGGTGGATAAATCACATTTGCACAACGTTTAATATGGTTACAATTAGGGATGCACCGATCAGGTTTTTTGCTGCCGATCACCGATACCGATATCAAAGAATGCTGATCACCGATACCGATCACGTGGATTGGCCAGAAATTTTCTACAACATTATAATGAGTGCTACAAACTACATAATCTGGGAATAAAGGAAATGTAACCTAATCTAAAATGGTCTGTATTAGGGTTGTCACGGTGTGAAAATTTAACCTCACGGTTATTGTGACCAAAATTACCACGGTTTTCGGTATTATCGCGGTATTTTTTTTAAACGTGCTACATTTTCACACAATTAAATAAACCCTGTATGTCAGGAAATATTGTCCTCAGTTTGTGTCTAAATTTTGCCTAAAATGTGTTATTTTGTAATTATGTTGTTTATTTGTTTACATTTTTCCCCTTTAGTCTTTAAAATACCAATATTTGCCCATAACTTTGTATTTTATGTCTGTTGGATGTCATCATTTAAAAATATTAGATCAGATGATACTCAGTACTCAAGTAGCCTTCTAATCAGATACTTTTTTTTTTTACCCTTACTTGAGCAATCCGTATTTCAGGAAAATATTGTCCTCGGTTTGTGTCCTTCCAGTGAGCTTTGCAGATGTGGGAAAATGTCATCAGGCAGTAATCATTGTTAAATTCATAATTATTCTCGGAGAGAGACCAACTCTTATCTGCCCCTGGGAGCCCCGTAATGCATAGCGTCATTTCAACATGGCGGGGTCCGCGACACGGTTTATATGCAGGTAGCGGCGCTGCGGCTGCTTTATATAGCGACTCATTGCATTCTCCCTCAACCCAAATCCTCGGATCACGCATTTTAGCTAAAACGCTAACGTTAGCTTGCCTTGCGTTGACTGTAGAGTTGTGGGTGATGGTCACGCAGATGTGTCATGAGATAAGAAGCAATGCTGCCTTTCACAGACACTTTTTCTGCTCGTGCTGCAAACAGGATAGCTGTCTTCTATAAACTCCCTTGGCATTCTTCAAATATCTAAAATATGCCCGTACTTCCGACTTTGTCTTCTTTGAGGGATAATAAATGTCCTCCTGAGCGCTGCCGTCTCCTCCTTTGACCATTATTTCAGCTTTAGCTTCAAGAAAGTTTTGTTGTAAACAAAGCGTGTATGTGCCGCCGGCAACTTCTGCAGATGATACGGTGGCTGGTAAGGGTCACCGCGCCTACACCCCAGCCACGGTAAACCCACCAAGATAATATAGTTTTTTAAAAACAAGACGGTTATTATTGTCAACTTTTTTTTTTTTTACCGGGGTTTAGCGCTACACTGGTTACCGTGACAACCCTACCTGATCGGTTTGCTTTGATCTATTTTGAAAATTCCGATCAAAACCGATAGGGGCGCTATCGGCCGATTACGATCAAATGCCGATCCATCGGTGCATCCCTAGTTACAATATGGTGCACAAGTACGCTGTGGTGTGGCCACACCCACTGCCTTATCTCATTAAAGTGTCAAGAATAAATGACTGCAGAAACAACACATTTCACCTGACTACAATAACACGTCCCGATGTTTGAGCTACTCTCACAATGCCTCTGTCAGCTGAGTGCTACTGTGTTTGGGAAAGCTTTTGAGGGTCCAGTCACTCCTCCATACGGAGAAATGCTGCGGCTAAAGGGAGTGAAGATTAAACACAAGCTTTGGTCGCTCTGCTTCTCCTGATCTCCTCCTATTCATCACAATTCACTGTTCAGATGAGATTAAAAAACAGAAAACATTCAAAGAATCGTGTTCCATTGTTCAAACCAGTGAGAATAAAAGTGAAGGATTCAGCTTAACTGGAGGTGAACAGGAAGGGAAGCGCTTCCTGTGATGTTCAGTGGAGCTTTTAGCCATTAGTGTTTGAATGAGCATCCTTGCTTGATTAATCAGATAAATGTGCAGCCAGTGCAATGACATCTACATCTGAGATGTTCTGGTGGTACCAATCCTTCTCTCTGACTGGTCTCAGATGATCAGACACCACTTCATAATGAAGTGAATGAATGAATAAATCATCCACTCTTGTGCTTCGGCCTAAAGCACAATACAGCATAGAAAACAGCCCTGATTAACACAGATTCATAATAAAACATGGATTATCTACATATTATTCAAAAGTGAAGCTTGAGAAGTTTGAAGAACAAACTCTGGTCCTTACTGGTCACAGTGTTCTTGGTCCAGTTTGGTTTGTCCACAAACATTCCTCATTTCTTCCTGTCTAATTCCCCTGTTGTGTTTTGTCTCTACTGGCTCTCGTCCATCAAAACAATTCTAGGAGGAATCCTGATCTCCAGAATTCCACTATTTCATCATTAGCTTGGACTGTGGGTCAACTTTGAGCAGCCTCTAAGTCTTAACCAACAAGAGATCTGACCTTCAAGCTGCCCTTTGCATTTTTATACTACAAAATTATTTTAGATGTTTGTTAGTGACCAGGCTATTTATTTAGGCTGGTCTGAATTAAATGATTTGTTCTCCCCTGTCTCTAACATGCCGGAGTAACAACAAATACAGTAAATCAGAAATCTTAACAACTCCCTGATATTTACACTAACGCGGTTCTCTAAACCACAGAAAACATCAGACAAGCCATGCTGTACCCCAAAATTATTCAAACCAGTTTATCAAATGATCCGAATCACTTTGGCTTTCAAGGTTAGCCTATGTGGTTGTTATTATGCCATTCATTATCATGCAAGACGATCTTATTTCTACTCTTTTCCAACAGAAAGCAGATTAAGGTAAATAATTTAGCTATAAAGAGTGGGCATCAAAAGATTAATCTTTAAATATCTAAAGAGAATTTAAAAAACTATACAAAAAGACAAAAAAATTAACATTTATAGAAGTTTCATTCATTGTTGCCATTAAGGTCTCATCCACTCTTTTTTTAATCCTGTGATTTTTAGTTGGAATAAATGCCTTGAGTCTTATTTTTGTGGCCACAAAGCTCTGGTGCTCCTGTTTCAGGAGAAGTTAGTTGAATGAGTCAGGGCACGTAAAATGGGGGGATTTTGAGTCCTACTCATTAACAACAGGATCAACAAAATGATCAAGATACCTGGCTGAGTGGTTGGGCAAAAGCTTGGACTCATTTGACATGATCATCGACAAAAGGATGAAGAGTAAACTTACGACAGTCATGTCTCTGGAGGATCACCCCTTCATCAGGTTTTTAAGGATGTCAGGAGCTCTTTTAGTGGGCGAATGTTAATGCCCCGTTGTTCCACTGAACGTTTGAGGAACTTTTATTCCTGCTGCAGTGCGTTTTTATAACAACCATTTGGTATGATCTTATATTTGACATGTCTATCATGGTTGTGGCTTATAGCAGTGTCCAGTGAATGGTTTATTTATTTATTTATTTATTTGTTGCTTGTGCGTGCATGTTGTTTTTGTTTTTTACTTGTCCATGGCAATTCAATTTCCCCCTTGGGGATTAATAAAGACAACCTTGAACCTTAATATTCATGATATGCACACAGCTCACCTCTGATTGGCTAACAGCAGAGCAACTCTTGCACTACCTCTGTTCACTCTTCCTCTTGGGTAGACAAAAACTTTATCTTCACAAATACCCCATGCCTGAATGTGTTCTGCCATGTTGTGGAGTTGCTAATGCTAATGGTTAGCTTGTACTAGCCAAGACACGCTCTGCTCTTTCATGGATGCTAAATCAACACAAGTTTGA